CAAAAAAATGTAAATTTGGCAACTAGGCTTCTTTTTAAAAAATCGTGTCTGAGTATGAGTGTTTTGCCCAAATGTACATCTGTGTATCACCTGCATGCCTGGTGCCCTTGGAGGCCAAAGGTGGCCATGGATCTCTGGAACAAGAGTTACAGACAGTTGTGAGTCACCATGTGGGTGCTGGAAATGGAACCTGGGTCCTCTGGAAGAGCAGCCAGTGATCTTAACCACTGAGCCATTCCTACAGCACATAGGCCTCTTTTTTTTTTTAAGTTTATGATGCAATGGGTTAAACTTCGTCATATATGCAAAGTAGTTACATATAAATTAGGCATATAAACAATTACTAATTAAACATATTCCAAAAACCTCAGTTTTAAGACCACACTGATGCTGCTACTGCTGAAGACAGTGAATTTGAGAAAAACTATCTAGGCTAGCCTTGATCTTCCTGCCTGCACCTCTTAAATTACAGAACTGCAGGCCTGTGTCACCATTCCCAGGTAATGTTCTCTTTCCATTTCAGAAATTCGGCATGTATAATTTGAATGTACCCATTATCTTCTTTTTTAAAGCAGTGTGCCCTGGTAACCACCTTTTTTCAAAAGCAAATTACTCACAGTATTGACATTAATCGTCTATTAGTCAGTTTGAAAGTTAATCATGAACAAATGGAATAATCTTTCAACATTGATGTTATCCTAGTAACTTTTTTCTTTCTTGTCTTTCTTTCTTTTCTGGGGGGGTATGGGGGATTCGAGACAGAGTTTCTCTGTATAACAGCTGTCCTGGAACTCACTTTGTAGACCAGGCTGGCCTCGAACTCACTGAGATCTGCCTGCCTCTGCCTCCCAAGTGTTGGGACTAAAGGCGTGCGCCACCACATCCCAGTTCTATTAACTTCTTTCTAAGAGAACTTTACAGCATTTGGGTGGGTTATTTTGTTTTTTTTTATGTTTGAGACAAAGTCTCTCTATTATCCCAGGCTAGCCTGGAAATCTCTGTGTAGCCCAGGCTGGCCTGGAACTCTCTATTATCCCAGGCTAGCTTCAAAGTCACAAAGATCCTCCTGCCTCTGCCTTGCAAGTACTGGGATTACAGGTGTGTGTTATGGTTTAAATTTTTATTGTTGCATGATATTACGTTTTCGTGCTTATATTGGAGTATTAACTCAGCTTTGTCTAAACCCAAAGGAAATTCTAACATGACTATCAATTCCCAGGCTAGTTGCTGTATAGAGAGAGATTGCTGTTACCCAAACACAAACAATGTGATGACCACCAGAACTCAAGAGCCCTAACCTAGAAATGTGGGCACAGCCGCCACTGCTGTATCTCCTCCTGAACGTGACTCGATGGATGTCACCGTCGAGAAGTTGCCGAATCAGAGACACCATGTGCCTTCCCTCAGCACTTATGACCACATCCTGCACGGCAGTGTTTTCTGACTCTGTGGTTAAAAACTGGCACAAATTAATGTATAGCTCGGCAGATCAGGAATATGAGCTAAGACTGTGATTTGAATCTCAGAATTATTAGACGAAGAACTCAAGTTCTGTTCTTGAACACTCAGGCAACAGAAAAAAAACCTGAGAAGAAAATCCTTTTCTTCGGAAAAATACGCAGACATACGGAGGCAGAATTAACCCGGGACGTTCATTTAGTCATACAACAAACGTTGATTGCACATCGGCTATGGGTGAGGTACCTAGTAGCGAAAAAGGTGTCCTAAATGCCAGTCAATAAAAGGTGGAAGGGGAAAGACAATTAACAAATAAAAGTTGAGAGTTATCTGTGATGGGTGTCATCACAGAATAAAATGCAACATTGTGTTAAAATGTTATTGGGAAAACCTCTAAAGATATTTTTAGATGAGATCTGAGTGATGTTTATAAAGCAACAGTGGTGAGATTTGTCATCTTAATTATTGTCATAACATGTGAGATTTTAAACAAGCATATAGTGCTAAGTTTCAATGTTCACACACAAAGCCTAAGAGTGCTTTTCTTGTCTTTTTTTTTTTTGAAAAAATTTCTTCTTGATTTCTACTTCCATGAACCTTCTAGACTGTAGTACAGTGCAAAGCTGTATTTGACCTTTGGTTCCTGTTCTTTCTTCTAGGCACACAACTCCTGAAACTCCTGTGTTTTCTTAGTGATAACTGTATGTTGTGGTTCACAACAAACCCTTTCAATATTCATGAATTTATGCTAATGAGGGGACTTAGGTTGGGACCCAAGGTACCTCAGACTACAGAGGAACCAGTGAGAACTTTCAACCTCACCTACTGGCCTCTGGGAAAGTCCATGAAGAACTGCAGATCCAAATAAGATCTTGGACAGTGAGCTTGAGAACGTCTGCTCTGGGGATGAGAGCTTCCGGGCTGGGCACACTGGAAGGCCCTGGGCAGGAGGCACGCCTGGAGAAAGCTTCCTCCTATGCCTTGTCCTGTGCTCTCTTCCATTTGACTGCTTCTGAGTCAAATACTTTATAATAAGCCATTAGCAGTAAGTAAGGTGATGTCTGTGCATCTGTCCAGGCTGTTCAGGTCTCTGTATTGTGGCTGATGTCTGAAGTAGGGGTAGCCTTACAAGATGGAAAACTTAACCCATGGTGTTTGTCCAAACTCTGGGAATTAACACCAGAGTGGTCTTTGGTTGCCAGTTTGTCTGTCTGACACCCCAGAAGCTCCTAGAAGCGCATAACTTGTAAAGAGAAAAAAAAAACCGAAAGGGAAGCATCGAATATGGGAACTTTGGTTCCTCAGTGGCCATGTTGTTACCATGGTAGGGAGCCACAGCAGTGGTGTCCTGGTGAGCGTCTAAAGGTAAATCTACCAATGGGCCCAACTCCCAAGGAGCTGATTCACAGGATGCCCCAGGAAATGCAAACTAGGAAGACAAGGAGTACGATGTTATAGCCTTTTGGCTGCTATTGCAATGGTTAAAATGTAGATGGAAGAATGTACTGGACCAGGTCTTGAAGCTAGACCAAGCTCAGATTGCATCTGGCCTGAGTTTTGGATATTAGGTTCCAAGCTGTCCTTAAAGGGAAAAAAATTACATGGGAACAAAACACCATCTAGGATGTATCTGGACAGGGGCTGGGGGACAAGGAGCAGTGACCAAAGCATCTGCTGCACAAGCAATAGGACCCTAAGTTCAAACCCCCAGCACCCATGAAAATGGCAGGTGGAAATGGGAGCCCAGCTGTAATCCTCGTATCAGGGGGCAGAGACAGGGATCTCTCCAGAAGACTGACAAGCCTGACTAGCAAATTTGCAAGCTCTGAGTTCAGTGGGAGAACACGCCTCAACATAGAAGGTGGGGCGCAATCAATAACCACACTCAGTGTTGGCCTCAGCCTCCATTCACCATGTTCTTCTGCACACACAGCCTTCCCACGCAAATGCAAGCATGCACACGCACTTGGGATATCAAGAAGCAGTCCAGGTCTGGGAGAACAAGACCCAGAAGTGAAACCAGGGGTAGAATGTGAACCGAGTGGCCTTATTTTGTAATTCAATGCCATCATCTTGCTGAAGAACCTTTAGTAGAATGGATTATGGGTTTATTTAGGAGAAGTATTTTGACTCTTTTTTTTCTTTCTAGGACTGGGGATCGAACCCAGGACCTTGCATGTGATAAATACACACACTCTACCCTGAGCAAAACCCTCTAGAACTTTACTTTCCAGATGTTGCACAGTGGTCAGACAGGTGTTAACTGATACAGGACCCACAGCTCACTATGGAACAATCACTGGTTATCTTGAGGTAACCACCAGCCTGGAACATTGGATAGGAGCCTGCTTAACTTGAAGCAGTCTATGTAACTCACCTTATAAATGCCAAGGGGAACATTCCAGATAAAACAGCTGATATACCTCCCAGTCAAGACCATTATACTCTCTCAGAATTGCCTAACCCTGAGAAGGGCAGTCTCTCCCTGGGTCTGTAAGACCCCTAATGCCAGGGCATCAAGATTGCAGGAAGTAGCCCAGCAGTGCTGGTGTGTGCCTTTAATCCCAGTACTTGGAGGCAGAGGCAGGTGGATCTCTGAGTTGGAGGTCAGCCTGCTCTACAGAGAAAGTTCCAGGACATTCAAAGAAAAAAAAGAAGGTAAAAGAAATAGGGGCCAGTAAGCTGGCTCAAAAGATAAAGGTGGCTGAGACCAAGCCTGGTACCCTGAATCTGATGGTGGGGAAAGGACTCCTACAGGCTGTCTTCCTTCACACACACCTCTGCCCCCAATAGTAATAGAAAAGACTCCTACAGGCCGTCTTCCTTCACACACACCTCTGCCCCCAATAGTAATAATGAGTAAAATGTTTAAAAGGAATTGAATTCTTAGCTGCCTAGTTATTTTTTTTAGAGAACTGACTGTTGAAAAAATGCTCCAAACTATGAAAGTGTGCTATTTTTATAATGGAAAACGATAAAACAAACATCTTTCATTTTCTGTTGTTTGAGACAGGGCCTGAATATTTTGCTTTGGCTATGTAGTTCAGAATGGCCCTAAATTCATGATCCTACTGACTCAGCTACACAAGAGATACAATCATAGACATGTTCCACCAAACCTGGAAAATAACTAGTCTTAAAGTAAAGTTAATATAGTATGAACAATGAATGTGCATCTTAAAATTTCAACATATTGGTGTAATAAACGTGTGTGTGTGTTTGTGTGTTGTGACTGTATGTGTATATGTGTGTGCAAGTGCCCATGGAGGCCAGAAGGTCACCTGGAGAAACTGGTGACAGAGCCACTGACATGGGTTTTGGAAAAGCAACCTAGGGCTACTTAACTCCTGAGTCATCTCCCCCACCCCAATATTAGTTTCATCTTGCAACAAACTATTAAACACAGATATATATTAAATGAAGTAATCTGAGTTGATTTTCACTAAACCCACAGATACACATTTCCTCTGTCAAGGTCCTCTTCACACTCAACCTTAACTATATCTGGAACCATGAAGCTTTTGCTGCACAGCATGGTTTACCTCCTGCATCTTCGTCTTCATTGGTTGGGGCTTCTGTACTGTCCACATTTTCTGCCTCATGAGGTTTGCTTAAACTGTAGTCACTCAAGGCTTCCGGGCTTCCTGAAAGACAAAGGGAGTTTTAAGGACGAAGTCCACTTGAAGGGATTTGTATAACTCTGCATCGAGTCCCACAGCACATCTGTGACAGCCAGTGTGCCCCACTAATGTGCAGGCTCAACATCCAGTACTGATAAACAGTACCCACTTCCCTCATCCCGGGGAGTGGATGTGGAAACTCTCAAAGCTTAGAACTGTGGATGATACTCATGCATCCTTCTGCCGGCTACAATTCTTGTGAGTTCTGCGCTCACCTGCCCTATAACCAGCTCATGCTCCATCTACACAGCTGTTCTTTGTTCATTTGCGTAGCTCACAACATCGCTGTTCATGCCCAACAAGTATTAATGTATTCATTCAGCCTGAACACATTCATGTAACCTACTACAAGAGAAATGCTTTCCTAAAAGGAAACCTAGAAACTTCTGCATACCGAACCTATTTTCTCTTTCTGTTTATATAGTAAGTGTGATTCTATGCAAAATGTAATGGAACCCAGTTCCTTCCTTCATTTCATTTCTTGGTGCTTTAAAAATGGGGATCTCAGCCAGGCAGTGGTGGTAGCACACGCCTTTAGTCCGAGCATTCAGGAGGCAGACACAGGTGGATCTCTGTGAATTCAAGGCCAGCCTGGTCTACAGAGTGAGTTCTAGGACAGGCTCCAAAGCTACAGAGAAACCCTGTCTCGAAACAAAACAAAACAAAAAAAACGAGATCTCTCTCTGTAGCCCAGGGTAGCTTCAAAATCACTATATAGTCTATGCTGGCCTGAAGTCAGTCAAATTCCCCCTGATGAAGCTAGAGCAGGAGTCAGCAAACTTTGGCCTGATCATACCTGCTCTGTACAGGTCCAGGTGTAAGGATAGTTTCAAAATTTTCAAGGGTTATTAAAAACAACAACAAAGGATCTGGGGAAGAGATTATATGATAGATTTCTGGCCCTTTTTCAGAAATGGTTGCTGACAACTGATCCAAAGTGAAGCTTAAACCATGAAAATTCAAGTTATTATCTTTACCAAAATCGCTTAGTTAAAAAAAAATCAAGTAAACAAAAATCCAATGATCAACATTAGCGGGAATGTAATTTGACTCTGGTGCTAAAGAACGTGTGTGTGTGTGTGTGTGTGTGTGTGTGTGTGTGTGTGTGTGTGTGTGTGTGTGTATGCCTACACGTATGGAGGCCAGAGGTCATTTCAGGTGCCTTCCTTTATTGTCACCACTTTTTTTGAGACAGGGTCTCTCATTGACCTGTCTCTGTCCATCAGTGCTGGGGTTACAGGTACATGCTGCCACCCTTGGCTTTTATGTAGTGTTGGGGGTCCAAATTCAGGTCCTTGTGAGTTATATCACTGAGTTATCCTCACCCCCTGTCATATTTTTATGATGTTAGTGGAGGAGGTATTTTACCAGCAAAATGAACTGTATTGATTTCCCATTGCATTTCTACAGTAACCAGATAAGAGCACTCCTCTTTCTTTGGTGCTTTTGGTTAAAAGTGTGCTTCTATGGCAAAGTCCCGGCATTACCTGTGGGCAGAGGCTGCTCCTCAGCTCCTTTCAGCTCCACATTTTGTTGTGTATCTAAAAAGAAAGGGTATAGATATGAGCTACACAGGACACATTTCAACAGGATCTGAGTGTTCTGAGTTAAATGAGGACACTGACTCCGTAAAGCCTAGCAGGAGAATTCTTCTTTCTGGGCAGAGCTACGTTTCCTCCATGCTCCCCCTAATGGGACTGGAGGGAGAATGGAAGGAGTTATCCAGGCAGCATTGTCACTCAGACCTTTCATTCTTCAGAGACCCACTTATACCAAGAAAATGAGAAAAAGCGGGTTACTCGGGGCATGATGGCACACACCTTTAATCTGTTCCTATATTTGATGCTGTGAGTGCGAGCCCAGTACGGCCTACATAACAAGATCTAGCCTGGAAAGGGCTGCAGAACTAACAATGGGGCTAGAGAATGGTTCAGTGATTAAGGGCACACACTGCTCTTGCAGAGGACCTCAGTTCAGTTTCCAGCACCCACATCAGGTGGCTCATAGCCCACTCTAACTACAGCTCTGGGGGATTCAACACCCTCTTCTGGCCTCTGAGGGTATCAGAACTCACATGTATATATACACACACGCATATATACATGGTTAAAAATAAAAGGTTTATAAAAAGAAATTGTAGAATCGCCAACTGAATTCTACAATTTTGTGATACTAGATGTTGTGGAACAATCTTTTTGTACACTGTGAAGATGTGTCTTTGCTGAGGCACCTTCTGACTGGTTTAATAAAGAGCTGAATGGCCAAAAGCTAGGCAGGAAGAGGTTAGGTTGGACTTCTGGGCAGAGAGAGAAGACGAGGAGATGAATCTAGGTGTAGGGAGAGATGCCGGTGGAGAGGGAGAGGAAGCAGGACAAGAAGGAGGAGAAGTAAAGCCCGAGCCATGTGACATGTGACAGCACATAGTTTAATAGAAGTGGGTTAATTCAAGTCATAAGAGCTAGTTAGAAGCAAGCCTAAGCTAAAGCAGAGTTTTCACGGTTAATAAGTCTCCATGTCATTATTTAGGAGCTAGCAGGACAGAAAAAGACTTGTTACAACTAGATACTAGTTTTATTTAATCACACACCACTCTCCCATTAGTTTTTCTATTCACTCATCAATTCAGATAAGTTTCCAAAAAAGTTAGAGATATCAGTATATTTCATCCCTTTAACATCATAAGCAATACCAAAATTCTATATTAGATTTTAAGGTAAAATTTATATGCAGGGAAATGCTTTTATTTCAAATTTGTCTTTTAATAATTTTTCAAAAGCATATATGCCTGAGCAATGCAAATTCCTATCAATATCCAGATGCAGGTGTTCATGTCCATAAATCCCAGGACTCATGAGTCTGAGGGTTTGAAGCCAGCCTGGGCTATGTAATGAGACTCCATGGGGAAGGGATGGGAAGGAAGATGAGAAATGGGAGAAGAGGAGAGGGGAGGGAAGAGAGAGAGAAGAGAGGGATAAGAGATAGAGTGTTTCCACCATCCCAGATGGGTTTTCCCTGGAGCCTCTTCCTAGGCAGTCCTGACTCACACACTCTAGACACTGTTTTCATTGTAGCCACTTTAGCCTATTCTAGAACTTTGTGAAGATGAAACATTACAATCATATGATGCAGAGTCTTTTGTCCAAGGTTTCTTTTAACATAATCTTTTGGGATCCATGCATTCAGTGGTGCTTCTAAGTAGTTCATTATTTTAATTAAGTAATATCCCACTATATAAGCCTATTACTCATCTACTCTTGAGAAATATTTAAACTGTTTCTAGTTTCATTGTTGTTTGTTTGAGCCTTACTATGTAGCTCTGACTGACTTGGAACCCACTACATAGACCAGTCTAAGCTTGAACTCATAGAGAGCCATCTGCTTCTACCTCCTGGGATTAAAAGTGTGTACTTTAAACAAAACTACTATGCTGTTTTCTGCAAAGAGTAGACTTGAGGCTGGAGAGATCTCTCAGCAGTTAAGAGCACGCACTGCTCTTGCAGAGGACCCGGGTTCAAACTCCAGCACTCACAAATTGACCGTAACTCTAATCCCAGGGAATATGATGCCCTCTTCTGAACTCTGAGGGCAATAGGCACGTGTGTGGTGTAAACACACGCACATACAGATAAAACACTCATACACATAATATAAATCAGACCTTTAAACATTTTAAATAATAAGCTTAAATTTTAAGATAGTCTTAAATTTATACGAAAATTATGAAGGTGAGTACAGAGGGCTCCCACACATTCCATATTGAGCCTCTTCTATTAACACCTTATTGTTAGTGCAGGATAGCTATTATAACTCATGTTCAGATATCTATTTATTATATTAATTTTCAGATATCTTTCACTTCCATCCAATGCCTGCATTAGTTTAGTCATCATGTCCCCTTAGGCTCTTCTTGGTAGGTTAGTGTCTCAGGCTTTCCTTGTTTGGGTGACCTTGATGGTTTCATAATACAAGCAGGTATTTTAGAGACTGTCCCTCAGCTGGGATGTGTTTGTTTTTCACATGAGTAGACTGAGGTATGACGATCCTTGTAAAAAACCTTTCAGTGGCCATGAGTTCATATCTTAAGTAAATATCCAGGTGTTGAATTACTGGGTCGTGGAGTAGGTATATGTTTAGTTTTAACAGAAACTGCCAGAACTTGTTCAAAAGTGGTTGTGCTATCAGCAAAATATGCATTCTTCCTGTTGCCCCAATCCTCACCCATATTTTAACTTTGCCAGAATTTTGGCTGGTTTTGTTTTTTGAGACAGAGTCTCGCCATATAGTCCAAGATGGTTTCAGACTCGAGTCTCCTGCCTCAGTTTCTCCAGTGTTGAATACATGCTTGCAGCACCATTGAGCTTATCATTGCAATTTTTTTAATTGAGACAACCCACAGATTTCCATCTAAAGTCAATGAGATCAAAGTAACAGTGTCACCCACATCTTCCATGGATTTACTTCCATCTTGTTAGCTGTCCAGTTGCTGAAAGAAGATTCTTAAATTCTCCAAGTACTGTTATTTATCTGTTTGTTTCTGCCTATCTTGAGGCCACACTACACGCCGTCAGTTTTCCACAGTCTGCTCCATTACGATTACACCAATACACAGCGTTTTTTTTTTCCACTCTGCAACCTTTACACTAGTTGTCATGTGTTACATCTAAATATATCACAAAGTCAAGGAGACAGCATTCTTAATTTTTACTGTGGATAGTCATGTTTTATTTTACAGAAGTTAAGAGGAAATTTTACTTTGGCTTTAGCGTTTCTGGTGCTTTTCTTTTCTTTTTTTTTTCATGAATGTCTGGTTCTTGTCTGATGTCAACTGCCTATAGCCTAAAGAACTTCAGCTAACATTTATGTAACTATATGGGGACAATTTCTCTTTCATTTATTTTACTGTGTCTTTACTTTTCTTTGAAGCTTATAAGATATTTTATTAGGAGGTTGGAGAGAGGGCTCAGCAGTAAAGAGCACTGGCTGCTCCTCCAGAGGACCTGGGTTCAATTCCCAGCTCCCACACAGCCGCTCACAACCATCTGTAACTCCAGTTCTAGGACATTCAACAACCTCTCCTGGCCTTCCTATGAACCAGGAATACAGGTGGAACAGGGACATAAATGTAGGCAAAACATCTATACACATAAAATAAAAGCAATTAAAACATTTTTAAAAGAAATCATATTAGACACAGAATTATGATTATGAGGATGTCACCATTAATCCCAGCACTTGGGAGGCAGCAATATGAAAATCCCTGAATTCAAGGCTGATGTGGCCTATATAAGGAGTTCCAGGTCAGTCAAGCCAACATAGTGAGACTCTGTCTCAAATATATATTTCTGGATTGAGCCAGGCACAGGGACACACCCGTTATCTCAGTGCTTTGGAGGACAAAACAAGAGGATTGGCATGAGTTTGAATCTTGGGCTATATAGTGAGTTCCAGACCAGCTTGGACCAAAAACAAAAACAAAAGAATCTTCGGTTGACAGTGTTGTTTTCTTCTGTCCCTTAAGTATCGCACTGAATTCTAGATCCTAGTTTCTGATGAGAAATCAGAGGTGTATTCTTGCTCTGTTTATCGTGTGTTCTTTTTTCAGAGTTTTCACGATTGTTTCCTCTTTACCTTGGCTTTCAGCAATGTGATTTTTATTTGCATTTTCCCACATGAACTCCTCTACAAAGTTGAAACATTCTCAGCTGGTAACTCTCCATATACCTTTTCTGCTCGTTCTGTTTTTCTTCTATGACCAGTTACACGAGTGTTAGACCTTTTCCAAGTTCTCACACCTCCCCAGAGACTGGTCTTTCTCAAACTAGTGTCTTTACCTCTAACATTCACAGCGAGTGTGTGTGTGTGTGTGTGTCTGTGTGTCTGTGTGTGTGTCTGTGTCTGTGTGTCTCTGTTTGTGCATCTGTGTGTCTGTGTGTCTGTGGGGAGGGGAGGCTGTGACTCTGTAGCCCAAGTTGGCCTGAAACTTGTTATGTAGTTTAGGCCAGCCTTGACTTCACCATCCTCCCACCTCCACCATCCTGGTGCTGGGATTTCAGACACTCACCATCTCATCCCATTTGCTAACTCTTTCATCATCTTAATTTGCTGTAGAACCCATCCAAAAAGTTCCTTGAGTTTTAGATATTGAAACTTTTAATTCTAGAATTTTCGTTTTTGTTATAGCTTCTTTGTTAACATTTCCCACTTGTTAATTCACTGTGTGTGTATTTTCTTTTACATCTTGGAGCATATTTACAGCTGTACTAGATTCTTGCTCTAGTTCCAATATCTATATCATTTGGGGTCAATTATCACTGGCTTTCCTTTCTCTGAAGGAAGTATCAAATTTCCTTGCTTCTTTGTGTTGTATTCTGGACATTATGAACAGTAATTCATAATGCAGAAATTCTAAATTCTCTTACATTTCTCAGAAACATATAGGAATTGGGGGCGGTTAATTGTGGTTGTTTTTCACTTTACAAAGTTGACTTATTTGGGTTAAAGCTCATGTTCTGTCTGTCCTGTGATAAACAGCAACCAGAAT